TGCTAACCCTGGGCCTGGGCGCGCCTGCCCTGGGGCCTGAGGGGGCCCCGTGGGGAGGCTGATCCGGTCCCTGCTGAGGAAAACGGAGGCAAAGAAGTCATTAAATCGGTTAGCTTTGTCGTCTGGTGTGACGACCAAATTTGCTAGCGGGTCCTGGAGAGGCCCCACGTTACCCGGTACCTTCTTTTTGTCCCCTATGGATTTAAAGAAGGACTTCTTGTTGTCCTTGATCCAGGTCGCTCGTCCCGGTCCCATCTCCGCCTCGGCCTTCCTGACCCCCCCGCACCCCCAAGCAGCCGCAGCGTAGTCCTCCCTGGCGATGGCCCCTCCCTGCCATCGGGTGTGCGCCTCCCTTTTAGCTGGGAGACGTTCCCGGATGCTCTGGTGAGCCATGGGGGCTGGCTCTCCAAAAGTTTGATGGCTCTGAAAACAGGGGAGCGTCACCCAAGATCACCAAAGCAGAACGTGGCCACGGTGCCGGTCAGTGCCGAACAACAGGACCAAGCGCATGCTACAAACACCCCCAGCACCATCCTGCACTATCCTAATGCTTGACACGATGTTATTTCCTTCCCTGTTTGTCCTGCAGATCCCCTACCTACTTCTGAACTCCTCCGTGCCAGAGATGAGGCCTCGAATGTACCCAGTGTTTTTTGGAGAAAGCATTGAGGTCAACCCTGAACCCGTACAGGAAATCAGGTACATATGGAGGTGATTTTTTTTTCCCCTCCCCCGCTTTCCCATAATTTTTCTCCTGCAAAAGATTACCGTGTTTATAAATGGGTGTCGCAGTTACTTTGGTGGTGGAAGGAATGGAAGAATAATTCCTGAATTGCAAAGAAATTCACAGAGGTTGGGCGGGCGGCGGGGGGGTGCGGGGAATGACTGGGAGGGGAGGGGATGGTGGATGGTTCAGGGGTTGGTAATCGGAGATGGAGGTTTTCATTTCCAGTGCAGATCAAATCCAGCCAAAGCTGTGATGGAAAACCATTACCATCTGGAGAGCTGTTTGGTGGCCTGTGTAAAACGAGTTGGTGGTCTCAGCCCAGTTCCCAGCAGACTCGCAGCCTCAGAAGAAGCAGCACCGTTGTAACTGGCACCCACTTGATTTGTGCTTGCAGCAGAGAGATCAAGGTTAGGCTGGCCCAGGGAGATGGGGCTACCCCCTCCGCTGCCATCAGGGTGGTCCTGCTATGCAGGACAGATGGTGCTGGGAGGCAGTGGCCTTGCTGCAGGCATTGTAACTGAGGCCGTCAATCTCACGCTCTTTTTTGCCGGCATGGACTCCACTTGGAAATGGCATTTGCAGCGCGGCTTGTGGTAACAATTAAAAATGGAGGGAGCGGGGGAAGGGGACGGAGGAATGTGCGTGCCGTCCCCTCCCCCTTTCCCACACGAGCGCTGCTCTGGACACGTACCCCGTGAAAGCTCCGATTGCCAAGGAGCTGCTGGCAGGCGCGTTTGTACGGCGATTGCACAGGAGTTGTATAAGCACCAAACGACTGGCTTGCTTACACACCTAGCCGTACAAAATACATTCAGGGAGCTCAAGTTACGCATGCCACAATGGGCCAAGGCTCTCCAGGGTGGAGGGGACCAACAAGCACTCGCCCGGCTTCTCATCGTGTTGCAGGGAGGTGCAAATTCCCCAGCTGCTGGTTGCAGTTGAAAGGTTTGGAGCAGTGAAATGAGAGCGAGAGCCCTTCAAGCTCCCTGTAAGCACCATCCGGGCTCCTGGGCCCAAGTAAAACCAAATTTCCTTTTTTCTTCCATGGTCACCTGCTTCTCAGAGAGGATGAGGAGGCCCGGGTGCTTTTTATCCATGTGCAAACAAGGATATGAACTCCACAATCACTGCTTTGATGCACGTCCTCTGAATGGTGTTGGCAGCACCGTACCTAGATTCCTGATGGCCCCGGGTGAACTTTTAGTATTGGGCCCCCCTCTGCCAGAGATGATGATAAGAATAATTGGACAACAGGGCAAAAATTACCATTTTTGGGCCCCCTTTCTGTCCGGGCCCCGCAGTTCACCCATGCCTGTGTCCAGCTCTGGGCGTTGGAGCCCCGGGGCGTTCCTCTGGTGCATGCCCTCCAGCAGCTGTCTTTTCTAGGGCTGGTATTTGACCAACCCTTGGTGCTTGTGTACAGCCAAAAACATCGAGCCCTTTCTCTCCCTCAGGCAGCCCATCTGGGACTAGCTCAGGGCTCTGTCTCTCCGTCCGTTTGGTACAGATGGGGTCACTTCACGCCTTTGCTGCCACCGTTGTTGCTGCGTATTGGTACAGGCCCTGCTCTGTGGATGAGGCAGACGCCTGTGGTTACTTAGATCTGGTGTCCCAGGACAGGGAGCTGGACTCGGTGGCCCAGGGGGCCTCTGCCAGTCCTGCATTCCCATGACGGGAAAAGAAGAGGGGTGGGAAGGTGACCCTGAGCAGCTCAATCACCCTGCTCTGCCTCTCCGTGAACACCACGTCCACGGGGTTATTTTCTTGCCTTAGGGTCTCCTGAGAGCGTCCACCGGGGAGGAGAGCAGAGGCTGGGAAAGCAACAGTCCTTGTGCCCCAAAAGGATCACGGAGGCAGGCACTTCTAGCTTTCTGCCCGATCTGAAGTCGGTTTCCCATCTTCACCTGCCAGGTCCATGGGGGCCGCTGCACCAGAGCAGGCGGCTTCCTTCCAGCACAGCACTGCTGTTTCCCAGTATGTGGGCAAGCCCCGGGAGGATGGGTCACAAAGGTGCCTAAACCTTTGCAAGTCCCAGCATCAGCTCTCCCGTCGAGGCCCTGGGATGAACGTCTCTGTTTCTCCAGCTCCTCAGCCTCTGATAGCTCTGGAGCGGATTTCATAGAAAGGTTGTACAATCTCCATCGCAGGAAGTTTTTAAGTGCAGGTCAGACCAATATTTGACCCAGATAAGGGCTGATCCTGCCTTGAGCAGGGGGGCTGGACTAGATGCCCTCCTGAGGGCTCTTCCAGCCCTGTTTTTTCTACGTTTGGCCTCCCAAGTAATAAACTTCAGCAGGCGAGGCCAGCAGCAAGCAGCCAGCCGTTGTGCCCCTCTCTGCTGTACCTGCAAGCTTGCTCATACCATGGTGCTGAGATTAGAGAGGTTTTGACTTAAGGCCAGGAAAACCCAAGTAAAGACCATGGAAGACTCTGAAAGCCAGAAAATTAAGGGCATTTTGTTTTGTGCAGGACAGGCCTTCAGAAGCCTGTGCAAGAGGCTCCCTGTTGCTCTCAGGCATATAGCTGGGCTTGAGAGGAGGGCCTGGCTTTGTCCCAGAAGCCAGGGGGGACTCACGGGCAGAGCTACCTTGCACGGGGTGAAGCAGCCCTGGGGACCGCTGCAAACCTGGGGATGCTGCAGTGGCATTCGGTGCCTTGTGGAGTGGGGGGAGACTTCTATCTGTCCCAGTCCTTGATGATGTTCACAGAGCAGGGCTTCCTTTCCTGGGCTCCGGGTCGAGCATTTGAGCCCCGGGAGGAGACAAAAATGTTCCTCCTGTCTTCCCGCCGTCACCTTCTCTGTTTGCACGGCCTAACTTCTTGCTGCCCTTCACAGGTGCAACTCCGAGGTGAAATACGACTCCGAGAAGCACTACAGGGATGACATCTTCTACAGCCCCATCCCCACCGTCACCACCTACAGCGAGACGGTCATCGCCGCCCCCAACTGCACCTGGAGGAACTACAAGTCCCAGCTGAACTTCGAGCCCCGGCAGAAGCCTCTGCGGTTCCAGAGCACGACCATCATCTTCCCCAAGCGCGCCAAGAACATTTACCGGACCACCCTCAACTACAGCCTGGGCTGTGCCAAGCGGTGGTTTGCCTCCAGCGTGCAGCTGGAGCTCTACGAGGAAACGAGCCCTTGTGTCATCTACAGCGAGAGCCTTTAATCCGCCAGTGGGGAGCTGTGACCGCAGCGAGGCCACGTCCTTCCCTGGGATCTCCTCGGACAGACAGGCTTGGCTCAGAGCCCTCCCCGATGGCACTCGAGTACAGGTGGCGAGGGCCGTATGGTCTCGGACAAGTGCAAACGGCTCTGGGAGGGGGCTTCCACGGGCGCTCTCTCCATCCTGCCACCCGTGAACAGCTGGCTTTCGTTTTGTGACACTGTTGACGTTCATGCTCTGGATTTTTATTTTCTATTTTTTTTTTTTTAAGCCTTTCTATTTTGAATAGCATTTATGTGAAAGCAGATAATCGAGGGCCCCTAATTTACGCAGTTGCCAAATGTTATAGTGCTGCTTCCTAGCTCCATGAGTTTTTCGCTGGCGCCTAGGTGAAACTCGGCATCGCCGCTTCGGTGCGATCGGAGAAAATCAGAGTTGCCCTCCAGCCTTCACAGTTGTCTCCCAGCTGCTTCTCTAAGAGCTCAAACCCGGGGGAGGTTGTCATTGCTTTGATAGGTCGGCATAAAACATCCATCCTGTTCTAAACCCCTTTCTGGATAACGGCTGCAATACTGTATCACTGCAATGACCTTGACTTTAACTTATTTCTTCCTTATTTTTATTTTTAATTATTGTAAGAAAAGGAGAGACGATCATGGAAACGTGGCATCCACCTTCCTAGCTGGGAAAAGTGCCAAACTCCCATCTGAGGCCCTTCCTAGGAGTCTGATGTTTACATGTCATAACAAAATACTGTATAATAGGCTTGCAGAGAGCTCTCTCTGCGGGGAGATTTGCATCCTAGGGCGGACACCGCCCAAGGGATAGGGTGAAAAGCTCATTTTACAGGAATAAAAGACACACAGGGAGAAAAGACCTCTCTAAAGATTATCCAAATCTTACATTAGGGTGGTTTATGACAATCATGTTACATAGGTGTAGGAGCAAGGACAGTTCCTTTAGGACCAAACACGATGTTTTGTTGTGCGAGACAATAAAGACGATAGGAGGAGCCGCACTCTTACACTAGGAAGTGCAGGGTTTCCAAGCTAAAGCTTGGCGATGCGATAGATGTTTCCCAAAGGCAATGGGGCTGTTCCCCCAGTCAGCTTGCTGACTCTGGTAGCAGTATGCCAGGACCATAAGTCACACAAGGACTTCCCCTCCCTCTCTCCACCTCCCTGTCCCCGTCCACTCTTGTCCAAGTTGATGGTTTACCCTTTGGGTGAATTGGTTGGCTACAGCTGCATTAAATGCCAGGATGTGCAACATTAACAAATCACGGACTTGCCAGTACCCGCTTGAAGCCCCCAACCCAACCAGCCCCTGTAGCACGCAGGATCTTTGAGAGCAGTTGCTAGCAGATGCCATAATTGCATTTGACAGCATCTCCTTGTCACCACGGCCCTGGGGCAAGCGCTATTCAACTGCACGGATGTAACTCTGCTGAAACCACACACACACCCATACACAGACACACACACACACACACACAGAGCCTCCTTCACGAGGGATGGATTTGATCCCTTCAGTGTTTATTTTCGATGGGGTAAAGCTAGGGATGCTAGATAAGTTGACGTAGGTATTTTCGTTCGAAGACAAGCTGGAGAGAGACCACTTTCCCTTGCGTCTGACAACCTGCTTCATGACTTGAATTGATGTTCACGTTGAAAGGGAGCTAGCAAAGAGTAGCAGCCCTTGGGGCTACCGTGTTGTATAACAAGGCTCTCTTCCCCGCTGTGCTATTGTGAATACCGTACATGCCTTCCCCATGGCAGCTCTCCTGCGGCGATCTAGTATTAGCTGCTTTAGTTTCCCTAGGGAGATGACAGATGACAGGGGGGCAGGGACCCTGTGCACGAAAGGAATTAAGAAAATCGTGCACACCGCTGTGACCCAGGATCCTCCACATCACCACCCTCAACACCTCCTCAATGCACGTTCAAGGATAAAGCTCCATGAATAGACAGCCTGAAAGATGGTATCAATGCAGATGGGCAAGAAAGCCGTAGACGATCCCAAAGCGGTTGCTGCTGTCTGAACACGGGCCGATACAGCTGGGATTTTCAAAGGAGCCCAAAGGAACAAGATGGCTAACTCACTATATTTCAGAGAGATTTAGACACCGAGAGCAAGATTTTCAAAATGCACCTCAAATCCCATTTTTCAGAAGCAACTTAGGTCCAGACAATCAAAGGTATTTAGAAGCCTCATTCTGATTGATTCCAATCCCCAAAGGTATCTGAATGCTTGAGACTTAGGCACCTCGATTCCTTGGAAAATCTGGGCCTTGGGAACTTCTGTCTGCAAGTGAGACTGCTTTAAACAACTGCACGTATGTCCTTGCTATAGGGGTAACCTGGGTGTCTGGCACCTAGGTTAGTCTAGCACGCGTGTGGGCAGCCATGGCAGGGTTAGGGACAACCCATGTGTCCAAACAGCCCAAGCAAACTCTGTTGTGGAGATGCATGTTTTAAGTTTTGCAGGAGCTTCCAAACAAGAGATGGAGGGACAAGTTGACTTAATGGATCAGATGCTGTAGGCCTCGTGATCTGAAGGGGAACCTGAAAGTCTTTGGAGTCTTGGTCCCTGCGGTGACTGGAAGTCGACTCCTTCCTCCCTACTGAAGGTAGCAGCCAGATCTACCTAGCCCCTACAAGGCTGCACACATTTGGACAACTGCCCTGCTTCCCCTTGCTGGTCTTAGGCTGTAATAGTGCGGTGCAAGGGGAGCAAGGAGCTGCATTTCAGTCTTCTCTCCTCTTGGTTTCGAGGGACAGCACCGGGGCGTAGGAGAACAAACAGGATGGGAGTCTCTCTCAACAAGCTGACCCCGCAGAGCCATGGCTTTGCTTCTAGGACTCCTGCCAGGTGGTCGTAACACAAGTCACACTTCGCTGCAGCTGTGAACATAAAACTCTGTCCCCATCATGGGATTAAGCCGTTGCACAGGGCACCCAGGCTCTACTGGGTCACAGCCAGCCTGCCTGGGCTTCCTCCTTTTACTTTATAAGAGATCTGCTTTGCAACATAAATATGGGGAAGATATGGGTGGGAGGGCCTGGGAAGTCACCTAGTCCAACCAGCAAGTGCCAAATCAACCATCACGTTTGGCCCTGCACCTGGGTTGCTACCCACTTGTGTCAGTCTCATAGTTAGAATGGGGCAGGCTCCTGGGAGCGTTAATGTTGGGGAAGGAAAGGCACCTTTCCCACCTCTACTGTGCACCCTTCACAACCCCGGTGCCCCCAGCCAGCACCTTGCAGGGCCTGTGCTCCCAAAAGTGGGAGGAAAAGGTGAGGCTGGCTTGCGTGGAAGGGGAATGCACATTGCATGGTCTCCGTGGGTGGTTAAGTGGATGCACGCCTCTCCCACCTCCTCTCCTGGAGCATCCCCATGGCATTATCCCCTCCCCTCAGGCACAGAGGCTCCTGGAGCTCCTGGCTGGGTGGTGCAGCTCACCTTGCTGGGCCAGGCATCGCCCCTCAGGTATTTAAGAGCACACAGGTCATGGTTCATGGGACCGTCCCAGGGAACCAGCCCACCGTGCGGTCTCCTTGCCCTTGCAGAACTCATTCAAAACCAGGCTTAGGCCTGTCCTGAATGCAGTTTTCATTCTGTTTGTCCAAAGCCCAGGCAGGATCCTCGTCTCATCAAGGCCCCTGTGAGCCCACACCTGTCGGGCACAAGAGACCCGCAGCAGTAACACACCCCTGAGTTTCATTGTCCTTCCAGTCCCACCAGCTGAGCTGTTTGCTGTGCAAACACTGAAACCTGCATTCAGAAGAGAGAGCCTATTTGAAAGAACTGACTGCACATGCCCTTGCTTGGAGCTCCAGGGATTTTCACTACTTAGCTTTTTCTTAAAAATGTGCTGAGATGGTTTCTCACCTGGCAAACCTTGTGCCAAGCAGCATTTGCCTGGGTCCTGCGTGCTGGCGGCTGCAGAACGGTTTGCCTTGCTCAGGTTGACAGCAGATGGCTCAGAATTTCAATTGCAATTAGACTGGAGGGGGTGACTGAGCATGCCAGGGAGACTGCACCATGAAGCCAGCATCGCTGGGTGCCAAGAGACCCGAAAAAGAAAATATGCAGAGTCTCAACTACAGTGCATTTGAATGACGAGGCTGCAACATCAGAGACGAGATGAACTGGAAGTGATCCTACAGGTTGGCACAAGTGGATCTAAAAGTCAAAAGCAAGAACTATATATTGCCAAGTGCCTTATAATTGTAGAGGGGTATTTTAAATACCTTCCCGCACTTTCTGCCTCCCTGGATGAGATGCCTTGCTTCTTTGAAACCTGGCACTGGGATGGGAGGTTTCCCCTGCAAGATTAGACACCCTCTGTCTTCTACTTGCAGTCATGTATCTGCTACTCGTTTTCAAGGAGGGGTGGTGGGGGGGGGCACCAAAGTAGAATTTGGGGAGTAACTTGTTTCGCTTCTCATGCAGCCCCATGCTAATGTACAATTTCCCATCCGGGTAACTGGATGTGCCAACGGTCCTTATGCCGCAGCCGAGCG